AGAGAATATGTCACTATAGAAAAAGAGCAGTGTAATTTACTTTAGCTGGTTCATTCTCAGTGTCCTGCATGCTGACTCACTGTCATGGCCTACATTAACACCTGTGCTTTTCTTACAATGACAAGTAAAATATGTGCTTTGATAAAGGCCTATATTTTAATTTCTTGTTGTTGCACCTTTTTGTCTTTAATTTGTGTGTCTGTAATGTAAGCAGTCAGATTGTGCATGCATGTCTGAAAGAGCCAGTTATACCTATTTTATACACATATTTTATTTTTTTAGCATTACTTTAAGTAAACAAACATTTAGTCACACCTGCAGGGAACCTGCAGCGGGGAGCCAATAATTGAAACTAGGTTTGTTTGTTTTTTTCACCTCCTCTAACTCGATGGAAAGTCTCTTCGCTCCTGAAGTGATGAGGGATTCCAGGAACAAGACTGCCAATGCAGCATAATTCTTTGTCCTGCTTTTCACACAGTGTGAGCTATTCTCATGCTGTATATTATAAACATGCCGCTGGCATATTTAGAAATTCATATAGGCAGGATGTTACCTTGTACATTTCTCGTATTTTTAGTGGGATGTGCTGTTGTTTTCTTTCTGCATCTATGTGGCTCACTTGTGTTGTGGTTTAGTGATCTGTGTTGGTCAACTCTGCATACTTTAATAAAGTTTGAATAAAACTACTAGCATGGCGATATTTTTATCATACAGAAAGACGGGAATACAAAACCACCATACAGTCACAGCAGCTGACATATAAATAAATCTGTTTTCTGTAAATTGATATTTTTCCATCTATTAGTTTCTTTACATTAATGTCTAATTCAATTTTTAAATGGATTTTACAATTACAGAATAATTAATTTTAACCTATATTAACCCATAAAAATAGCCTGTTAATCCATCAGATGCTCCACTTCGAAGACACAGTATGTTGAATTTCTTCAAACTTCACTATGAATTCTCAGTAGACTAACCTGGAAACAATTTTCAAAACCTCTGCAATGGGACAGCATAAACAGAAATCACTTCTGTGGTCCCTGGCTGTGAAACATCAGATATCGAGTAATTTCTTTGCCTTGTGGTCAGACTACTTTTGCAGAAACCTGCCTATGAAAATAGAATGCTAAACACTCTTACTTTTAACAAATATATGTTTTAATTAAAAACTCAGAACAGCAACTCTTTTTGCCATTGTTTTGTGCAATCGGATCTTTGGACAAAATACACACACAAAATTATTTTATAAAATAAAGTGAAAAAATTATGTTTTCGAGATGTGACACTTGGTCATGGTGGCTGGGAATACACGTTTTATTTGGGGGTGGGACAGTTTAGAAATTTTGATTTATCTGTATATTTTCTGAGGGTTGGGGAGTTTTTGCCCTTTTAGGCCCACCAGAACACCCGTTGGAGGTTTTATGTCTCAAAAAGTGAATACTGTAGTCCTCCATTGTGGAAGTGAAACCTCATGCAGATCGTTCTTTACAACTCAGCCATCTGTTGGTGTACACCCAAATGTGTTCATCATATCACGCTCATCAAATTAACTCTTAGAGCTTTCTGAACCTCAAACTCCTACACCAAGATATTTTTCAGTTTTACTTTAGAACTATTGTAGAAGCTTGTCTTTGCTTTGTTCTGTAGTAACAAAAATGATGAATGCTATTTCTTGCATTCAACATTTTTGTTTCCCCAAAAGATGCTTCTGTGAATCTATCATCACTAGGTCAGTACACAGACCTTGTCGTCTTTAGATAGAATATTAAAAGAGAAACGACTACTAAAAGTGGGAACAAAAGCACCGTCTAACCTAATAACTACTCCTTTACAAAAGGTCGCTCCATTTGGAGTTATGGACAAACACTGGTTTGCTCTTTGATTTTCATGTTCCACCTCTGGGAGAAAACATTAAAGGATGAAAGGCCTCACTATCTCCACTGGATCAGTGGATCTGCCCAGGGCCTCGCAACAACAGCCATTACCCCAACGCTGCCACCGTTGCCTCCTGTTTTGCAGCATGTCCTATTTACTTATTTATTCGTCCCTCTTCCACCCACGACTTACTTCTTATCTCGCCCATTAAAATTAATCCTCATCTAAAAATATCTACTCTTGGTCGTCAGAGAGGATGTAATCGAGGAGGAGATGGCCTCTCTGAATCTCCCTCCCTCCTTCTGTCTCGCTTTCACTGACAAGTACTCAAGTATCTGATGAGAAAGTGCTCTCACTTCAGCTTCTGAAGTAGAAAAATTACAAACACAATCTGTGTTTGTAAAACTGAGATCTTAATCACACATTCCAATACTTTGCTGCCTACTGAGGCCTTATTGGAATTGCATGTCTGCCTTAATGTTTGTTGTTTGGAGAAGGACCAGGTTTGTTGACTGTTGCTAACTGTTGAAGCCATATGAATGGAGTGATTTAGCTCTATAGTGAGTTGGAAAAATGACTAAAAGCAGGCAAGCAAAACATGTTATTAGGTAAAGAAAGCTTAGAAGAGACATTTAAGAAGGGAAAGTATGTTCAAGGGATGTTTTTAGAAAGTCACATTTGAAGTGTAGGAAAATAAATGGAGAGAGCGTGAATGGCATAAAAACGAGATGAAATACAACATACAACATAAAATCTTACCATATTCTACAAACTCTTATCTTAATTGGTAAATTGGTTGACGGCGAGCTGCTGGTGTGCGTCACTCTCGGCCTTAAAGTTTTATACTGATACTAACACACTGAGGCAATGCAATCACAACGACCTGCGAGGTTGTTCAGGTTGGATAATAACTGTCCCACCTCTGTGTGTGTATGTGTGTGTGACCTTGTGATTATGCCCCAGTGTGATACTTTGGCCCGGCTGATTACCTGTCAGCAGGTTTTGTGCATCTGACACAAACACATGCGCGCGCACACACACACAAATCATCACCCAGCAACAGACAATACCCACTGGGCAGGTCACACTGTTGCAGGAGGCATATTGCTGTTTAAAAGGAGCACACACACACACACACATAAATAGGGCCCATGCAGGCTCTGGAACATAGATTGTCTATTAAGGAGTGTATTAGGAGAACCCAGGGGTCCGACATTGAGACAGTTTGTGTGCCATTAGAGCGGGATTTTATGTTGTTGTCTGGTGTCCACTGATACTGAGTGAGAGCGCACACACACACACACCACACACACTACACACACAACACACACACACACACACACACACACACACACAAAACATTTCATCATTCAATAATGAAACCCTCCTAACATTGGGAGAATTATGGCCAGCAGGAGCACATTTGGAGAAACTACTGATTCTGTCTTGTCATTTCCTGCTCCATGCCCTAGTGAAAATAATGTTTTTTGGGGGTTTTTTTTTTGTTTTTTTGTTTACAGGACAACCAGTGGGATCAAACAGTTTCAGTGTATGTCTCTTTGGACTTGCATCTTTCTTGCGCGACTGGAAAATTTTTTTGGTTTAAAAGCTCTATTTGACCCCCCCACACGGGAATATTTCATCTCCTCATGATTGATTTCTATTTTGGTCCTCTTTCAGCGCCAACTTCATATCTTCAGCATGGTGTGCATGTGTGACTTGCTTGTCCCAGGCAGTTGCTGGGATTTGCTGATGTGATGAGCTCAGTAAATAATGTTTTTTCCCTTCTGAAATTAAAAGCAAGATTTTTTTTAGCACATGTATGAGTTCATTAACACAGTCAACCACAAAATATTGGCTGTTCATGGTGTGCATAGCAATGTCACAGACTTTTATTAGTTTAGCAGCAGGATGGCATAGTGGAGGGGAGAGTGTGCTTAACCTACAGGACCTTTGATGAGGTCTCCTCGACTGTTTTATTTTGTTTGGTTGGTGGATAGTGCCCAGTTCTTTTTGTGGCATCTCCTCAGTTGAGGTTCCAATCGAGCTGCACCAATACTAAAACACTGCAGACCACATATTGGTCAGAAAAAATTGTCACTAGAATTGATGCAGATGTCCTGCACAGTGTGAATTGCGACCTCAATTTTTTTTATTCACTCAACCCAGATTTAAAAAAAATGTCAGCTTGCATAACCACGCTGGGGTCAGTTGGCAAAGTGCAGACATGCATCTGTTTGGTTGCCGATAAAAGTTTTTCAAAAGGAAAGTATACCCTAATTTTTTTTTGTGTCACATCAAACATGATACCATGGCAGTTTCCCCAGGCATCCGCTATGACAATCAGCTAAGATTCCCGCCTACACTAAGGGTTACCGGATGCAGTGGCAAACAAAACTGAGAAAAGTATCTGGTACCCAGAGCTCCAGACTAAGTTTTTCACCACTGTCAAAAAAAATATGTTAACAGTTTTCCCCGCCCTCACCTTACCTGTTAAATGTGCACCGACACACTGAAATGAGTGGACCCAGTGTTTATCTCAGTTAGCTTTATTGTCTCCGTTAGCTGTAAACACACTGCAGGACTCTGCTGCCCAACCGGCTGCCAACTAGCTCTCCTCCTGCTGATTTCAACACAGATTTGTTGTTCATGATGTAGCATAATCAGGGAGATTTAGCTAGCTAGTAGCAAATACTTGGCTGGACTGTTTCAGTTAAATGACTGGACTGACTAATAAAAAGTTAACAAATTTTGACCAGTAGAGCTTTAAAGAAAGATGTTCACTTTGATTTTAAATATCAGACCCCTGACAAACGACCTGATCAAAAATTAGAACTAGCAGAACACCATTATTATTATTATTATTATTATTATTATTAGTTTTATTATTATTATTATTACTGTTGCCTGAAAATGTCAGGATTCATTTTCATCTTCAATATCCACCCAAAGTAAAATATTTGGATAAGCAGCAGCATTAAATAAGTAGCATATAAACAACACCACACTGTATACAATCATGCACTAAAGACCAGCCCTCTGTCTCATGTAATCTTTAATTGCTTTTGTTCACAGTGTTACAGCGTTAATTCAGAGCTGTCCTCGTGAAGAATAAGGTGAGACTCAGAAAATGGAAGACGTTTCACTTCACTGAGGTGACAGCAGGAGGTCATGTTAAACTTGGTGCCCCTGGAGTTGCCTGGAGGAGCTTTAGAAGTCAGGGCGATCTTTCTTCAGGTTCTTGTAGTCTGTGTTGACGGCCACAAACTGTAGAAGGCAGGAGGAATACATTTAAATCTGTTTTGCTTAAATTAAATTCATCAGTGCTGTCTTTAGGAGAACACATGGAAAACAAAGAGGCAACGGTGAATTTTATTTTTTTCCCCTCTAGTGCAAATATAGACACATATACATGCACACACTCACCCAAACATTATTACACTCATTTACCATGGTACTTTCTATCTACCTTTTTTCCATTTTTTTGTCTTGCTGAATATCTCATGGATGATATAGTATATATTGTGTGACTGCATACGTGTGATCTGCTTACATCACAGCCCTGCAGCCATGATAAACTCAAATTTTTGCACTGGCAGTGATTATTTTCTCTGCATGTATTTTCCTTGATTGGTCTGCCATTAAAAGTCTCGCCTCCCCTCTTCTCCCTCCAATCTTTCCCGCTTCCCCCTCCTCATTACGTTCATTGTTTGGACTTCAGTGGAATTTCGATGCGAGACCTTTGCCTCACTATTGAGAATTAAACATGCCGTGTCCTGACCTTTTGTCTGAAGCGACTTTCATTCCACTGGCAAGCAACGCAGCCTTGAAACCCTCAGAAAATGCTTTTTTCTCTGGAAAAACACATCATCCAGATCTCTTCTTCTGGGACTTGTCAGTTGGTTGTTTTTCTGCTCTATTTTGGGTCAGCGTTGTTAATATTTTCATTAGTTTGTCTGTGGCTCTGGCCTTGTTTAAGAGGTAGGGGAAATTATTACCAACCACTAAAAGCCCCTGCTTCCATCTGCCTTAATTTGTTTTTGAAAGACACTTTGTTTTTCTTTGTTTGAACAGATGTGAAGAAAACCAGGAAGAAGCCATGTTGACATTTTTTTGCCTGCATTGGTTAGTCCAAATGTATTTTGGTAGGTTTTAGGACAGATGATGATTGTGAGATTTTCAGTAAAACAATGCTATTCGTGTCTAGATTAGTTTTCTGGCAGACGTGATTGTCGTGAGCAGGCATGTGGCCCTTCAGTGTGTGACAGGGGAGTAGTCACCTTGTACTGGTAGGTTGGGTCGAGATTGTTCCAGGGCTCTGGGTTGTTCTTCTTGTCCCAGAGGCTGCAAATGTGGAAAGATTACAGAATAAAGAGAGGAAGGAGAATGAGAAAAGACATGACATGAGAAGGAGAAAGGCACAGATGACGGAGGTAAAGATCAACACAAAGAGGAATGGAGGCTTGATAAGAGAAACCAACTGAGAGGTAAACAAATAGGAGGAAAAAGAACACAGAAGGAAAGCGACAAAAGGAGATAATTATATAGAAGTTGTGGAAAAAGACAGAGGTGATTATGAGATGAGCTGAACTCAGCCCAATGACTTGGCTGTGCTCCTCTATTCATTAACCAAAGTCTGGATTTCACAGCGCTTCACTGTGATTGTCCATCCCTCTTCCTCCTCCTCCTCTGGCAGCGCATCACGCCGCCAAAGCACAAACAAAGGGACTGAGAGACTGATGGCAGAGCGGGTATGTCTCCCCCCCTCTCTCCATTACCACAAACACTAGACAGTCTCTGAGAGAGAGAGAGGGGGAGAGAGGGAGAGAGAGAGAGACAGAGAGAGAGAGAGGAAGAGAGGAAGCCACTGACCACAGCACTCATCACCAGCTGGTGATGAGGTCAGGCGTTATGGCTGACCCTCAGAACAAGTGGTTCTGTGTGGCCCAAAATAGGACACTACACATTTACTGCATGCGTGTGTGTAGTCACTGAGTTCAGTGTGGTTGTTGCTTCTGAGGAAATGACAGGTTCATACACCCCGCTGCGTTTGTTATAAACTTTAATTCAACATAAAAAAAAGCTTTGTTTTGATACTGCAATCAAATTCAGGACAATCACACAGATGGCATTAGGGTTAGCAAATCTGAAATCTGAATCCAGTATCCGCTTATGAATCAAAATCTTTTTCAAATCGCTTATCAAATTAAATAAGGTTTCACTGTTGATGTAATAGGACCCAATATTTAAATCACTGGGCTGCAGATTTTAACACATCAGAGATATATTTATCAGATATGATGGTCAATAAGTAATGCCAGTGATGTTCATTATTGTAACTGTAAAATGTACACTACACGTACACTATAATAAGTCTACAAGTAGGAAGAGTACTACAATGGTTACAAGTTACTCTTACGTGACATGAGGTCCTCTTGCCAGACGGATCAGATAGAGGGTGGCCCCTGTCATGCCCAGAGTCAGGAAGAAAAATTGAGGGATTAACTGAGGAGAGGAGAGGAGAGGAGAGGAGAAGAATGCATTAGTCCCAGACCACCGAGACATATGAAGGTAAACAAACATATTCTATCAAGTGGTTGGCTGTGATATGTACAATAAACACCTGTGTGAAATACACACACACACACACATACACGGGTAGTTGTTATTCCTGTTTTTCCTCTCCCTGCCCTCCTCCATATGCATGAGGCCCAGGCCATGTGTGAGGCAGCTCACTGTCAGCCTGGGTTGAATGGGCAAGGACGCGGTGGAAGAGAGAGCTGGCGCATCTCTGTGTGTGCCAGCCTCTCCTCCTCAACACTATACCTGTCAGACTGAGCGACAGCATCTCACACACACACACACAACGCTCACACTGCCATCCACATTTCCGTCTACTTCACTATGTGATAACTTGTATCGTATGAGAGGGCAGAAGAGGGAGAGGCAACGTCACACCACTTCCGGTGAACAGGCTGTCTCCAGCCTACCACAGATCTTCACAGCTGTAGAGACGATGACAGTTTGATCAGGTTGAACTGACGGATGTCTCTACTCCAGCTTCATCTAGACAATCTGTCCTTCTGTCTGAATCTGCGCTTGACCGCTACTCTGCCTTGTTGTTGATTAGTAAAATCTGTCTGTGTTAAAACTTGAATCAATTCCACTACCTTTACAAGCTGCTGCGCAGGAGAGGAGATGGGAAAGAATACTCCCTCCCCTCGGCTACAGTACTCACCCCACCTCAACATAACTAATCGTACCAACAACTCCAACTCCAAGCAAATGCACTCAATCACAGCAGCTGCCACCCTATTGTACATTCCAGCTCAAAATTTACCATTTTATCGGCCCGACATATCGCCCAACATCTTTTTTCACATTTCCTGTACAAACTTTAGAAGCTGCAACTAACAAAAAATGTCATTATTCGAGACCTAGCATACTTTCATATATACATATATAGTTATATATCATATAACTACGTCGTATCACCCTTTTACTTTTTTATTTATT